TTTGCGATTTTTCCTTTATCCTATGTACCGTTACTATTGATGTTTTTGTTTTTGATTAAAGATAGAAGAAACTGTCCGAGGATTAAAATGACAATTACAATTTTTTCTGAACTATGTCCCTTTATATGATTTTAAATACAAAATTTTAGATTTTTTATTCCGACAAAAATTTTTTGACACTGAAAGGGTTAAGTGCGGTCGGTTCGAACTTTTAGACCCTCTGGACTGGGGCAGCTTCAGCAATGGCGTTTTCTATATGAAGCCTCGATCCAAAGTCTTCAAATTTTAAGGCAGTATGGTTAAAATTAAGTTAATTCCAATGTATATTCTTTTAAAATATAATGTTTTAAGAAGATTGATAGAAAACCTGTAAGGAAAGTAGTAAAGTCGAACTGGGTCGACTATATGATACCATTCACCACTTTAGGCATATTCTACATATGCATCCAAAAATACGTCGCCTTTTCGAAGAAACATTGACATGAAATTGAACGAGCTTAAATGTGTGATCTTTATATATATCTAAACCTACTAACATCAATCCCTACACATGTCATTCGGCTACTTATGCTAAATTTTGTGAATCGATTTAAAGTAAACTTGACACACTCCAATTGATTATTTGGTGTACAATTAACATGAATAAATTAAAATTATACATGGAATTATAAATGGAATATATATATATATCTGAACCGATTTCAAGGAAACTTGCCAGATATTAATTTATATCAACTTCAGCACGTTCAGTACGGTCTACCTATGGATCTTTAGTCCACCATTTACTTAAAATCGGACGAAAATATACATTGGAGCTGTATCTAAATCTGAACCTATTTTCACGAAACTTTGCACACATTTTTCTAGACTTAATTTAGTACGGGACTTTGTTGCACATCGGACGAAGCTATATATGGGAGCTATATCTAAATCTGAACCTATTTTCACGAAACTTTGCACACATTTTTCTAGACTTAATTTAGTACGGGACTTTGTTGCACATCGGACGAAGCTATATATGGGAGCTATATCTAAATCTGAACCGATTTTCACGAAACTTAGCACACATTATTCTAAAATGTGTGCTAATTTTCATTCAAATCGGACTATAAATGCGACCTGTACTTTGTTTACAATTTAACATCAACAGACGGATGGACGGACGGACGGACTGACATGCAAAAATCGACTCAGAAAGTGATTCTATGCATATTCTCAAAAGGAACCATGGGTCTATATCGATTCCTTTTGCCTGTTACAAACATATGCACAGAGACATAATACCCTGTACCACAGTGTGGTGATAGAAAAAAATATATTTCTGATGGAGTGTGGCCTTGAGACATCAACGTCAGCCGCTAGATAATATAGTCGCATATTTAAACAAAATAGATCCTTAGAGGATCAACCAGACCGATAGCAATGATAATTACCAGGATATGCCTATGAAAGCCGAATGTGCCCCATCAAATGTTGGAGCTACCCCAGAAGCTAAACTGTAAAAATATTTAACTAATACTAATTTTTGGTAACAGTTTTTATAATTAAGTATCAGAGGACAATTACCAGCCAGAACGTTATAGATCTCTAATCAAAAAGTGTCGAATGTGCCCCAGTCTCCTCTATAGGTCACCGTTATAGTGAGGCTATAATAACAAATTGACCAATATTGATGATTTGTAATAAGAATATTTGCTTTTCGATGTGAATTCAAAATACCAAATAAATCCAGCTCTGTAGAAAGACGCCGCCATATTCCCCAAAATACCGAAAATTGAGATTTGCTATAACAATGGGGCTATCGTAAAAAGTAGACCAATACTGATAATTTTCAGTTGGAAGATTTTATGCTCAATGAAAACTCAAAATACCAAATTCGGTACCATATACCATTTTCAATACCAAACATCCTAATAGTAATAGCAATGTTGGGCAAAATTTGAAAGCTTTATCTTAAATGAGTCGCTTATTTTAAAAGTGGTTTAAGTCAATTTTCCTTATATTGAGATATTTAAAGGTTAGGGTTTTGATTTGTTTCAATAATATTGCCCTTAAACATGATAGAATATATGACATAATATGTTTTGTAAACTTTTCTAGAAACCCAAGATTTGTAACAGAACCTAAAATGGACTTAAACCCCTTAAATATTATAAAATATTGACCACTTGTGAGGGATGTACTAGAAGGAGTGGACCTATCTTCGCACTAAATCTAGGCTGGGTACAGAAAATATGTTGTGCACATTTTGGTTTAAATCTGGTAGCCCGTTCGCATGGTATAACAAAATTAATGTTCAACAAAATGTTGGCCATTTTGTGTGGGAGTTACCGGAAGGAGTGGACCGATAGTCCCCATTTTCGAACCTAAACTAAGTTTGGAAGAAATATTACGATGTGCTAAGTTTGGATGAAATCGGTTACGGCCGGTTATAGTGCACACCAGCTGGCCATACAAACGGACAGGCGGACATTTGTAAATCGACTCCAAATTGTCTGAAACGGATTTGGTTCAAAGAAGTACCAAGTCCAGTTAGAACCAAAAACACATTGGTATTTCATTTTAACTCTCCTCAGTGGCCCCCATTCCAAATTTCAGAATTCTACCTCTTCTCTTTTGTACCATATTTAGGACGTTTGTAGTTTGTGTACTCTTCTGGTTAGAATTTCCAAGACACATATTTACAATATTTTGTATCATTTACTACTTTTCACACTCATAAGCACGAATTTCCAACATCGCTTCAATACTATAGTCCTGTAACAGTATTTGTTACTCCAAATATAAGTTCTCCCTCTATCTCTTCATCCCATCATTTCCATTCTATCCCAAACTTCAAATTTTACTAAATTTAGTACTTTTCGTACCAAAAAGTACTAATTTCCTAAACTACCTCAATCCTACACTATAACAGTCATTTTATTTCCCAATTTCAAGACTCCAACTAAATCGAACTTGTACCAAATTTAGTACCATTTGGTACTTTTAGTACGCATAAGTACGATTCTTTTTAAAGCTACCTCAATCCTGTACTCTAATAGTAGTCCTAATTCCTATTTTCAGGATTTCATCTCTATACGCTCAACTAAACTACTAAATGCAAATAGTACCATTTTGTTTTTTTTTTTTTCATACACATAAGTACGAATTTCTAAAACCATTTCCATACATAAACACACATTCAAACTTTTAAGCTTCTATCTTCGGCCGTTTCGTCTAGGCGATGATCTGTCAGTCACTCACTCACTACCTTATCACTAAGCTCTTTTACTTATGAAGATTAGCCACAGGGCTGTGGGTATAATTAGCCATGTCCGTTTATCTGTTGAAATCACGATAGAAATGTTTGCACAGATATTGCTACTACATTTATGATGTTTGGTATTCTATTAAATTCGGCTCTAATTCGATTTTTTACTCGACATAAAATTGCAGAATATTTGGATAAAAAAGTTTTCAAACCTCAAAAATAATTGAATTTGGACAATTTTGGACCCAATGAGATCCTAAAATACCAATACCAGCTGATTAGGTTGAAAAGCTTGCCAAAATATTCAAAATACCGATTATTGGCGGGTACCTAAAATAACCTATATTGATAATTTTTAGTGGGAACATTTTCTACATAGAGTGAAATTACAGCTGATTAGGTTGAATATGTGCCAAAAAGCCTCAAAATCCCAACTGTTGGAGGCATGTTCATATATCTGGTGCAGTCACGTTATCTTCATTAATAATTTGTTCACTATCCCGACAAGAAATATGTGAACCATAAATAAAACACATTTAATAATTTGATTTCCAGTTTGTTTGTATCGTTTTATTTAAAAAATAATATTTTTTATATAGTTTTTTGTGATTTTTATTTGTTTTTAAACTTATATAGGGATATATTTTTAGGCGAATTTAAAGTAACTTTACGAATTAGTGTTAAAGAAGACAATGTAGTAAAACTAAAAAATAGATAAAACGATATGAGGACCACATAAATAATATACAAAAGATTGGATTGATTGTGTTTTGGAATACTTAGGGATTAGATGAAAATTCTTCTATACAAAGGATGATAGGTTGACTGGATTAGAGTCAATCCGTATACATTTCATTAACAATAAGTATATAGAAAATACAATAACTTTAGAAACCTCGATAAAAAAAGAACAACTAGAAATATACTAAACAAAGTAGAAGAACAAAAACGGAAATTCCATTGAAATCTTGAAGAAGAACGTAAATTACGATAAATATATTTCTGATTGTTTGAAAAAAAACTAAAGTAATATTTAAAATATTTGCCATAACTATAGAGGGCTTGGCTTAAAAGTAAAATTAGAATCCTCCAAAGATATCTAAAAAATGGATTGAATGTTGTTGAAACCGCAACATAATTGAATTTTTGATTGCGGTTTTGTGAACCTTCTCCTTGCGGAGTTTGCTTCTGCGAAATTTGGTATGTAAGCTTCGATTCAGAAGGCTTATAGCCGACAATTATCTGAAGCTGTTATTAAACATGTTTAAGCTTCTTTTCAATGCTTGTAAAATAACTTTATGCTGGCCTATACTTAGAGGCTGCGCTACCTCTTTGCTTCATACATTCATTCTCTTTAATAAAATAGCTTAGTTATAGCTTTTGTTTTAGTTGCTCTAAACATTAAACACAAAAACAAAAAATTTAAATTCTCATTTCATTAAAAAATATTGCTAAAACTGCTTCTTAAAAACTGCATCTTATAAACTGCTTATAACATCCGTTCTGCTGCTGCTGCGTAAAAATGTTCTTCTGCTTCTGTGGTTTCTTAGCTTTGAACGCGCCTGCGGTTCTTCTTCTTCTGTTTTATTTCTCTAAAATCTATCATAACCTTGATTATAATTTAAGATACATATCTATAATGAAATACAAATCCTTAGAGACGCGTTTAAGTCGGGCTGTTACAATTTTGCGGATATCACGCAAAAAGATTGCCCTCCTTCTTCTTCTATATGGTGTACTTGGATGCTTTTGTAGCGCATTTTCTTTTGTCTGTCTCAAATGTGATTTGTCTGAATGCCCTATATGTGGTAGAATGAATCCGTGGGATTCCTTATACAAGGGACCTTAAGCTTAACATAATCCCTAATCTTATAGAGACCTTAGTAATGCATGCAAATCAAAGGATACAATCGGGTATGACCTTTGCTGCCGTTGGCGCTGCATAAACCCTTCAAATGGGTGGTGGTCCTCGTACGTAACGCAATTGCGGTGTGAAACTCATGGACAAATTATTGATGTTGTCGCAACAATTTGGCTGCATAAGACAGGCGGCACAGAACACGGTGAACAAGGCCAATTGCATGGGTACGGCCACACGGGCGATACGCCAGGCCCAGCCGCGTTTTGATTTGGGATTCAATTCATCGTCGGATGAATCTAAATCGTAATTGGAATTGTCATCGGAGGGATCATCATCACCATCGGGTGTGACGGTGGTAGAGGTCATTTGCAAGGCATTGCTTTGGGCCATATCAGCCGCGGCAATGGAGTTTGTGGGTGCAGTCGCCGAGCTACGACGATTTTTGCGTTTACGTCTGCTCAACGAAGAGCCTCCAGTTGACGATGTGACCTCTTCAGTAGCTGCTTGGTGGACCTTATTTTCGAAACCATTCAAATGACCATTACCATTTGCATGACGTCCCTTAAGGCAACCGTTGGCATGTTTCAATTGTTGTGCTGTTTTCGAATCTGTTTGATCTTTCTTTTCAGTCAATTGATCTTGGGCTTGTTGTTTCTTGCTTTGATGAGAAGCTGCTGTTCTCACAATTAAATCGCGACAGGTATTTTGAAGACTCTTTAAATCATTTTCGGCCGATTCCATGCGGGCGGCAATTGATTTCATGGCCTCGCTGCCTGGAGCCAAGGCCGATTCCAATTGTTTGGCCAAACGTCTCAAGACGCCCAAACGGCGTTCTCGTTCTGAGAGACCACCATCAGAGGTAGCACCACCATCTGAAATGCCAGAATCCGAAAGAGAACCATTTGAGGCGGTAAATTTGGCAATGTAAAGGATGTGATTGGGATCCAGGTAATCCTGAACGGCAGTTAACTGTGAAAAAAAGGGAACAAGGAGTTAAATTCATAAATTTGGTATAGTTCTAAAATAGTTACCTGTTCCTGGCTAACATTAACTTTTTCGGACAATAATTTAGCCACCAGTTTAACATTTTGGGCCAACTCCCCGGGAGTGGCTTGGCCAGTTTTCAAAGCACCTTCCAAACCTTGCAATGTGCCACGATCCTGGCCCAAAGCCAATTGGAACTCGGATAGGCCACATTCCAATTGACGCCATGCCGTCAAGGAAGATGTTAATACTTCCAATTGTGAATTGATTCTGAATGAGGGGGAAGGAAACAGTATGGAGGTTAGTGGTTTTGTAAATAAATCATGCTTCTTCTTCTCTATCCTACCTTGAATCCGCCTCATCCCAGGCTGTGTACATATCGCTGACTTCATCTTTTAAATGTTTGTGGAATTCATTTTCCGATGTTATCAAGGATTGTAAATCCCAATTCTTTTCATTGGCAATTGTGTGTGTGGTGGTACAGGTACCAATGCTGCTTGTTGATGCCATCATTGCAGATGCTGTTGTTGTTGTTGTGGTGGTGGCGGTGTGGGTTTCAACTTGATTGCCATTACTATCGGTGACAGTTATCATGGTTGTTTTGTTTGCGGATGCTGTTCCTACTGCTGCCGTTGTTGTTGTTGTACTATCAGGTTCTTCTGCTGAGGCTGTTGTTGATGTAATGCCGCCGATCGCCAGTTTATTGTTGTGTTCGGACTCAAATTCGTCTTTTTCCTCTAACAATTCAATGCTGGCCACTTTGGCAGCGGCTTCTTTCAATTGTTGTTCGACAACAGCGTTTTGTAAACGTCTCTCCTGTTTTGTTAACCAACTATGGACGGAGGCATTCAATTTTAACATATTTGTACGATATGTCTGCAATTGGGTTTTTTCATTCTGAAAATAGAAGAAGAAGACGAAGAAGAAAAGGAGGAAGAACATAGTTAGTTAGACGAATGACAATCTAGAATTTAATTTAAAAAAAATGTGTTTTTGTCAGTCAATTGAAACTTCAGATGGATTTTGGTCATTGTTGGTCCGTCTACAT